AAAGTTAGGATTTTTGTGTTATTTATCATAGCATCCACCCCCACATTTTGTTTTTTAAATTCATAACCCGGACAAACGACGGATACCTCAGCTTGTGGTTGCATATTTTTACAAAAATATCTGTAAAAATAAAATGGTGGCTTAAAAAAGTTGAAATAATTTACACTGTTCATAATTTCTGGTTGATTATTCAATGATGAAGCTAGACATAAACGTACACATATTTAACATCATCACCAACCCCATCCACACAATCAAAATAGTACTGCCGTATATTTCATTTTTTCTTCTTTTATTTCTTTTCAGGTTCCAATTACATCTCATCGTTAAAGATCTGAACAAAGTGTGCTACTTAAACTTAATAATCAACAAAAAGAAGCATTATTTTAAACACGGACGAACAAATAAACAAAGATAAAATATAAATATTATATAAAATAGGGCTTACTTGATTTTTGGTACTCGTTGACTAGAATGTTGCTGGTGACTGGTCTGGATTGTATCTGAAAAAAAGTTTCTGCTTTAATCCACAGCTATATACAATTGTATGATATTTTCACTACAGAGTGTCATTACTTGCTGATGGTTGTACAGTTGTGCTTAACTTCAAATATAATCTTATGTTAAAAAACGATTCATAAACTCTCAAAATATTATCCACTAAATTGTAATTGCCAGGTAAATTATTCTATTTAGATAGACCTACATGAAGTAAAAAAATGTTTGTTTTTTATCATTGATTAATATAAAATAATATAGCTAAAACATTTTCAGTTTTAATACAACTGTCACATTTTCCAAACCACAGAATTAGGAACTAAAAAAAATAATTTTTTTGCAGACATGGGATTAATTTTTGTTTGTACGTGACCTGTTTAAATAAAATACGTGAATTAAATCATTTGACTCGTATGTCACCGAGTGCTTCAACTAAGTTTAATATTGAAAATGTTACATCAAGTTTATACACGTCATCAATCCAAAAATTAATGAGATTTATCAAAGTTTAAGGTTCCCTCGGGGAGTTAGTGGTAAGTTTATGGAGTTACAACACTAGAATTCGGGATTCGATTCCCCGCAGTGGACAGAATACAGATAGCCCATTGTAGCTATTCACGAAGAAAACAACAACAGAGTTTAAGGAAATTAAATTTAATAAATTTTATCTATCTGTGAGTATATGCATTACATAGCTAATTTAGACATCTGTAGGGAAGTATTTGTTTTGGATATTCGCGCAAGGCTATAAAAAGGCTAACTGTGTTCTTAATTTTGAATTGATAGACTAGAAGGAAGGCAGCTAGTCAACTGCGCCCACTTACAACTCTTGGGCTACTACAATTGAATAATGGGATTTGACAGCTACTCTTATAATTATCCCAAGGCCTCAAAGTACAGAGCGAAACTTGTGGCAACGGGAAACAAACCATGAACTATCCGATTCATAGTACTGCACGCTAACCACTAGATCATGTCCATTTTGCTTAAAACCCCCATAATGCTACAGAACGTGAAAAATGTTTTCATATTTGGTATTTTGTGGCCTTAAACACCCATGTTCATCAATGTTTTTTCCGGTTCTAGTTTAATTTTAAAGCTTGGCTTAGAACTAGAGGTTAAAACTAATAGTCAGATCATTCCTGCCATTGTGTGAGTCCTACTTCTGTAGTATTCCTTTTACTAAGACATATTTTACCTTTCCTTTGGTGTTGTTTGTATTCTAGTTTTAATAAATCGTCATTTTTGTGCATTTTTTTTGCCTTGATGGTTTGTATTTTTTACAGTAAGTAAATGCTGTAATGTTACTATGTTTCTCCGACAAGAACCTTTTCTCCTGAAGCTGGTATTCCAGCCTCCATAGTAGTAACATACTTGTATGAACAACATAATGAAACCCCTACATCTAAGCCAATGAGTGTTATTAGAAAAATTAAAAGTTAAACGCACCTCCTGAATATAAATAATGTAACACAAAGACGTATGACGTCAAAAGCGAAATATTCCATAAAAAAAAACATTTTTTTCTTTGTCGAGAATTTTAAGCTGTTCTTCTAAAGATAATAATAAGTTACGTATTCTCTAGGCAATTGTATTCCCGATATTCACGCGGTTGTGTGGTGTTTTTTGTACGTATAGCAAAGCCACATCGGGCTATCTGCTGTGTCCACCGAAGGGAATCGAACCGCTGATCTTAGCGTTGTAAATCTATAGACTTACCGCTGTTCTACCGGGGGATTCATGCGGTTGAAAGTGTACTGAAGATTTACGACGCCATCTTTTCAAAAAATAAAGACAACGACATTAAAGAATCTTTCTAATTTTATGTTCACTTTGAAGTCTTCGTTCTTATAGATTTGAATAAAGAAAAGCTAAATCATTATATTCCAATTATTAATACAATTTTAATGTAATAGTTCATCATATTTTCTTGCATAAAACGTTTTCAAAATCGTTGGCTATAATGACTTCACAAAGCATCAGACTGAAAATGTAACTTGTCTGTATAATGAGGGCTAACGGTACCGACTAAAAACAGTGTTTCTTTTTAAAGTGGCTTCCTTAATGTTTGATGTGCTCACTAACAGCGATATTTATGTACTATTACATAATACAATAATCTTTATTAAAATAAGATTCTCTGATTGAAGGCGATGTCAGTCTTAGACCACACATCGTAACAAACTTTCACAGATGCTACACTGCATATGGAAATCGGTTTTCAAGATCACATTTAAACGGATAAAAGGCACTGGAACAGCATACAAGTTTTAAGTTGGATTACTTTGGTTACATCTTATGAAAACAACCGTTGATTTCGAGTTGTGGCTGGAAGCTTGTGAAACTTTGGTTTGGGCACTTTTCATAGCTTCACATCCTTGTTTATTATCGTATTCGTGGTAGCAGAGAAAAATATTTAGATAAATTAAATTGGATTTTTGGATGTGAGGATTCTCTTGCGTGGCCAGAGCCTGCACTTTACAGATGAGGTTCATTCTCTATTTTAGTTTGAGTGTAGTTTCATGACATTCTCTCCAACCATACGCTATCCATAGTGGCGTTGCATTGTCGAATTTTCAGGATGCCAAAATGAACCAACTATATAGTGCTAAAGATGACATCTGTGGCGCCAAGGCTTGCATTTTCAGCAATGCCTTACTGCATTAACTTATGCAAATAATTCTTATGCGTTCTATAATCTTTCATTATGTTGTTAGGAATATTGTTATTTTTATTCTTCAAACAGAAAAAAATTTTTGAGAAGTTTTCTGACATCCTTTACTTTCTTTAGAATTGTGCAGACTTACTTTTCTATTTGGATTAGGTACGTCATAAAGATGGCGACTACTACCGAATGTACGCATACTCGGATCGCAACCTCCCCTAGGAGGACCACTCTGCTCTCGAGAGTACATGGGAACCTTGGTAGTGGCATATGGTGCAGGAAGATAGGCAGATTCCTGGTTACTGTCGTATGTAACAGTGAGTGACATGTTGTCTTGTTTTAATTGTTCACTGTTTTCTGTTCCTGTTGAAAAGCAAGCGAAAGTTGTATTACTTGTAAGGTTACTTTAAATCAGTAAATACAATATTCGAAAAATCATTTTTGGTAAGACTCATAATCTGAAAGCAGCTCTCTAAGTCTGTGTACGAATCTAGCGACTTTACACAGCAGAACATGGTTTAACTTGAACATTGAATCATTATTTGACTGTCTAAATATTTGTGCTTGGCTGAGGCGGCTGCGTTCTATGTTTTGACCAACCGTTTACCTTCCATACGCTACGTAAAAAACATATAAAAAACATAATTGTCATATTTAGAAGAAATATATGTTAAGCATTTTATAGATGTTATCTTCCAGCAGAGAAATAAAAATAAAATTTATATTACATTCGTATCAGTAGAGATGAATGAGTGAAAAGTTAGAAAAATAAAGAAACCGCATAAAAAAAAAAGTTTTACGAGACTGATCAACACGTCAACATCAGCGAAAAAAATCTATTGATACTTTGACAAAATTGTTTGCGTATCTCCGCTACATATTGACACTTTCATTCAATACGTATATAATAAAATAATTCAATATTTCAGTAACTTGTTTTTAGAGTTAATATGGTTAGCATTGTACGGATAAATTAAGATAACACTTTCAATATTTTAAAGTTTATTTGTTTGTTGTTTTTTTTGTTTGGGAAGTTGATCATGGCTGTTTCCTAAAAAAAGGATCAGACCGTATAATATCATATGTTGTACTGTATATTAGCACTTCATACTACCGTTAAATTCAGTGTTCATTAATTTTCCAAAGGGGAACTTTATCGTGTTATTACTGCCTGTTGTAAGAAAAGCAACGAAAAAGAAGAGATAAAAATAGGGCGGATAGTGCGTGTGCTATAAGCTCGTCTTGTTGTACCTAAATAACAAAAGGTTCAACGAATTAAATAATCCGGATATAGATTATTTTCTAATAAAGATTTTCGGTAGGTGTATTCATATGTTAATGACACTTGTAAAATATATATATTATAATATAACAAGGAGTTACATAATTTGATTTATAATAAAAAAAATATGTATAATAAGTGAAATTCCATGTTTGCGTACTAATGTATTGTGTGTTTCCATATAAAGAAAGAGCAAAGGAGTACAGATAGAATATAGACCTATTAATATGTGTTTTTCTAATTTAAACAGCATTTATTACGCTATCAATTGTATTATTATCAATAAGATATGCATTAAATAAGCAAAGAGGTTCTATTAAATAATGAATGTTCAGTGGTATCTTTATGAAACAACTGGTCAATTAAATACTACATATTGAGTAACCTACAAACTAGTACAAATAAGTATATATTCAAAACTAGTATTTTAGGTTTCAGTTTTGGTGGTTATAGTTTCGAACATCCAAGTAAATATCAGAATTAGTTACCCTCCGGGGAGTGGTTCCGTGGGCCTGGGGACCTTCGTCGGGTCACCTGACATACAACTATAAATACCACAATCAAAACTAGCAGTGAGCTAGCAACTGGAACAGTTACCGTTAGATGGCGATAAAGGAAGTTTACCGACCTTATTTCGGATGGACTTCTTGGAAATTCTACAACATTACAAAATAAATTAGTTATAGCAAACATTTTAACTACTTAAAATTACACAACAAGAAACAAAATGCATTTTTACAAAAGGAACAATACGCATACAACAAAATGTATTTGATTGATAAACTGTATAATACTTTTACGGGAAATAATTAAATGTATTTTTATCACAGTTAATAGTTACTTGCACAGTAAAAAAACTGTGAGACTCGTAAGTAAAAATAAGACTGAATAAAACTTTATTTAGGCATACTTGAAGTAATAGTTTAATTTTATTTTACCTAATATAGTTGTGATCTAGGAAACTAAGTGTTTGATACCGTTACCATTTTTTTTTTTTTACATATATGTTTAATAAAATAGTGACAGTGTTATTTTTTTTTCTACTTAGCACTTGAAAATTGGCTAAGAATATGTTTTTTGTTAGTGATATTTATGAAAGTTACCCAGGCAACATTACACACTTGAAGATATTTACTAAAAGAGATGGGCTTTAAAAACTTTATTGTATGTGTGTGTGTGTGTGTTTGAAGTGTCTGGAGTAAATTACATACACACACACACACAAATTAGTGAATATATTATACAAAAAGATAAGAGAAAATAAGGTCAGGTTAAGTTATTAGATTAAGATTATTTCTGATATTAAATTGGCAGATATTGTGCTCATAAAGTTGAGATTAATTTTCCAAAATTTCCATTACAACTACAGATAAGAATTATTAGAAAAGTTGCATGTGATTCATTCAGTAAAAAAAATACATATTCTCAATATGAAAAACAAAGAATTAGTATCTGAGCTGTTACTGAGATATTTTGAGGAATCGCAGGTGTAAGAGTTTTCTTAGAAAACCTTGACAGCTGTAATAATTTGAATCCTGAAGTGTTTTAACAACATTTATTCAGAGTGTATCTGAATACTTCATTTATGTACTTTAATGGAACACTTACAATATAATTTTTGTCTTTCCTGTAGTATATTAATTCAAAATTACGGATGGCGTGCAGATAGCCCTTCTCTAATTTTGCGTGAAAATTATAAAGTTTGTTTATTTTCGAATATTTTCGCAAAGCTACTCAAGAGGTATCTGCACTAGTTATTCCTAATTTCGAATCGATAGAACAGTGAAACGGTAGCTAGAAAACAACACCCACAGCCAATTCTTCGGTTACTCTTGTCGGACGGTACAGTAGGATTTAACACTCATTCTTATAACGCACCCACGACGTCAAATGTGAAACGCATTTTTTATTTGTTTCTTTTTGGTAAAGAGATGGAAATAGTGGATTCATCAAGCGAGTTAACCACTGAGACAAGCTTTGTCTGCGAAAATTCGGAACAAATAAACATGTTGAGACTTGTTCCAATAATTATTTGTAAAATTTCAGAAATACCGGAATGCTATTTACTGTAGATCGTTTTTACTGTCTTTACAAGAATTTCGTGGTCAAGTTTCTATTTTGTAATTTCATTTAAATAACTAGTTATCTATTAATGAACGAGCTATGTATGATTCAGCTGTTAGTCTAAGGTTTTCTAACGCTAAAAGTTGGGTTTCGAGTACAAACAACCTATTGTGTAGCTTTGCGCTTTACAACAAATAATAGCGAACGATATATTTGAATATTTATTTTTGACATTCCTTGTGTAGTATTTTACAGTTTGAACTATGAGTAGTGTACTTTATTATTTATCCAAATTTTTATCCATATTCTAGTTTTAGCTTTGAAAATGAGTGTTTTCATACGTAACTTAAAATTGTTTCCTAACTTATGAATTTATATTAAATAAATATAATAAGTGTTTAACCCTTGCTATTTTATATGTTGTCAGAAGGCACCATCTGATGAGATAACACATATTTGATATTTGTAAAACATTGTGAATTTCCGTGAAATATTTGGATTCACTTGCGGAAAGAAACGCCAAACAAAAACGCTAGTTTGTTGTAAATCATAAACTAATACTAGTATATTGAAATACGTGGAACATTCATTGGCCATATGACATGAACACGATTTATAGTTCAGTGGAACAAGTGGGTGTTACTCATAGCATACTTCAAAATGGAAACTAGACATTGAATTCCAAAATCTATACTTGTTATTTCTAACACTTATATACTTTATTTTTCTGTGTGTCAAATTTCCTAAAAACTGTGGATTTTAGTTTAATTGTAACTTATCTTGCTCTTCGAATATTACCATTCCATCACACACATATACCTTAATGAGGTGATTGTCCAACTTTAAAGGAACATTTATAAATCTTAAATCAAATTAAGCCACCTTCATTACTTTCTCCATTTTTAGCGAAAATAAACCTGTTTTTAATCCTCTTTTTATAGCTCATTTTTTCAAAGTAAATATTATCTTAAAGACAAAATATAGACCTGTTTTCATCCTTAGTTACTAATTTATCAAACTATCTGTCTCCCTCCAGTGTTGATAATATGGTTGCTATGGGTGTTAACACTTTTAATTCTCTCAATTCTACTATCAATGGTCAATTGCAATTTTAGACGTTGGAGTTTTTTATCTCAACAAGTGCTTCAATAAGAGTGACAGCAGCTCCACTTAAAGTTAATATTTTTTCTTGCAGAAATTTATAGCATTTATCTATGATAATCTTTTCTTTAAAAAAACTGAGTTGTGAATATGAGGGTTAAACACAGGCTTGTGATCAAAGAGTGGAAAAATTTAGGGATACCTGGATCAAGATGTTGGAAATCCCAACTATTCGCCAGGGTAATACTCCCATGGTAGGCTTATGGCTGGGAAGGATATTTATATAGCAAGATTGTTAAATGATTTAGCAACAAAAACACATCATTTCGAAAACGCGATCCTTCAGTAGATTTCATGCAGACGAAAACTAGCATAACGTCAGGATCTGAAATTCAAGTCAATATGAAACAATACCATCATTTGTAAAATGAAAGTTATGGTGGCGGATTCAATCCACATTATGACGAAATTGCGCATATTTCTTGGTAAACAAGACAACAATTTGAAGTTTAGGAAGGTCAAACGTTCATGCTTCCGATTATATCTTAAAATCAATAGTTGTTAGTATGAAAAATATGGATGAAAGAACTGGAATTACAACAATCTATTTAGACCACATACCTTTAAAGTCCTTCTACACTGATCTCAAAGACTTTTATGCCTTTTGTGACGGATTTATTATTATATATTATTTTAATATCAACGTTTGTTTAGATTAAATTTATATTTAGAAACATACATAGCTTATACTGTTAAACATGTATTGCGAAACACCCGCCTATCCTCCAAAGTTGTAGAAGATTCTCGAGAGTAAGAATCAACAATATATGTATGCACCTAAACGGTTAAATGTAGATTTATATTGTTACGTAATCTGAATTTTCTAGAAAGCCTTCACACGCCTATAAATATAACCAACGCGATGCGCCAAGGAGATTATCTATTATTAGTTTGCTATAGTCAGTGTGCTATAAACATCGAAAGTTACAACTGTGATTGTTATAACGCTTATCAATCGGAAAACTTTGATATTTGACCAGGAGCATTTACAAAGTTCGAACATTACAACTCATTTAACTTCAGTGGATTCTCATCGGACATTAATATTTTTACGAAAACATTACATAACGTCAAGGTGGAAAACTCGGTGTGTGTGGTTGGTAAATAACGAAGAACAAAGCTAGTTAGCTTACTGTTAAATGAATTATACCTACATCAACTCGTAATCAAGATATCGAAGAAGTTTCAGATTAGAAAGAAGACTTTATATTGCTTGTAAGTTTGTAAAACTTTTTTTTATAAATCATTGTTTGTAATAACTATTTCTAATAACTGTTATTGTAAATTGTATTTTTGTGTGTATGTTAAAACGTATTTGTGTTAAAAAAGAAAACTGTGTGTATCAATCTTGTTGGCAAATATCACAAACTGACTGTATATCAGCATATATTTAAATACTAAATCCAAAGTACAATTTAAATACTAAATTTAAATTGTAATTTCGCTCAATTTCATACCATATGAAATTCTAATACGTAACACTTTGTCTGCTTGAACGTGGGCCTTAAAGTCGATCTCCGCTTAAAGTGGAAGTCTCAGTGTATCTAAAGCTTAGCAGAAGCTTTTCAACATTGAAATTTCAATACGGGGCAATAATACGTAATTAGTACCAACAGATTGAGAATAATTCAGGATGGATAGAGTAGCTACAAATGTAGCACTGAACCTATGTAGTATGCAGGCATACTACATATTTTATGACACTGTCATTTAACTGTTAAGTTCATATTTTTGTATAAAATTCATGCATGCAGGTTTAACACTAGAAGTTGGTCAAGGAAATGGCTAGTTTCTTTTGCCCTATTTACCTATCGTTCTGGGTCATTCACCTATGATATTACGTGCAAATTGTAGTGTGGAAAATTGTTGTAAACTAGAACTCTTTATTTTCAGTTAGACAACTCTTTTCTCCACTGGTAGGTTAAATGATATCTTAAGGTATATACAATCTTCCATATTTTTGGTTAGGAATGATCAACAGTAAGACACGTGTCCTGAGAAGAATAGCATTATAGCTTTGTATATATGATGCTATGCTTTCTCAGGCTGCACCTGTATGAAGCTGACATCACATTCTTTAAAGGAACTATAGAAAATTACTACACACTATATTGGGTCGCTATGAGTTTGCACCATATGAAAACAATCTGGATTATCCTTCATGTTTTTTAAGTGTGTGAAGTTCATTACACGATCATATTACGTCCAGCTTTTTACAGAGTTTCACTGAACACGTGTTTTATGTTACAGTTGTTTGAAGGGCGGCCCAGTGGTTAGCACGCCAGACTGCGGATCCGAAGTTTCGTGGTTAACGCCCTGTTGCCGCTAAAAATATAACAAATCGCACTTTGGGGCCATGGGTGCTTTATAAGAGTAACAGCCAAATCCAAGAGTTGGCGGTAGATGGCGGTCATTAGCTAGCTAGCTGCCTTCCCTTTAGTCCATCACTTCAAAATTATGGACTGCTGACGCAGATAGCCTTCCAATAGTTTTGCGCGAAATTCAACAAGCAACAATAATTATATGTACTATCTTCAAAATAACAGAATTTGAAAAGATAAAATATTTTATGATAAAACTCATGAGTTTTAAGTATTACCGATTCCAAACTAGAGAAAAAAGGTATAGGCTAACGGTGGTAAATATATTATAATGTTAATTTAGTGTCATTGTTGTAATTTTAGATGTTCAGGAACAAGCACAACAAATAACTGCTTGAGACCTTGCAATATTCCAAATAAATTTTGAAAGACGGTTTGTCATAGATGTTGATTAATCCATTAAAATAACTGTTAATCATATCTATGGGTGAACAACCCTCTAAACTTCCCACCAGTACTTGTTTCTTCCTAGCAGTATAAGTCCACAGACATACCACTGTGCCACTAGGGGAGGGGGTGAGGGCATCAATGCCCACCCTTTATTGGACTGTGTTGTCTGATTACCAAGCTGCTTAACAGTCAGGAAAATGCAATTTTTTTACACACACAAGTAAAATGCTTGAGCAGTTGAAAAGGGTTCAATTTTATAATACATAATTAAACGAAAAGAATAGAAGTTATATGAACAAACAGACGAGGAATTTCTTTAGATAAGCAGAAATGGCTGATAGCTTATTCGAAAAATCATTTGATGAATTAACACTCTCAACAATAATATAGTCAAAGCTTAAAATGTTCTGAAAAAGAACAAACATTTCTCAAAATTTCGCTTAGCATTTTTCTTGGCTCCCTTCTAATAGAGACTTGAACTAACTTATTTTTCAAAAGGGAGAATTTGACTTCGTAAAATCAGTCAAACACCATTGATTATTGTCTATTATTTCGTCTAGGTGTGTGTGTGCTTTTTTTTAATATAGTAAAGGCACATCGAACTACCTGCTGTGTCCTCCAAGGGGAATCGAACCGCTGATTTTAGCGTTGTAAATCCGGAGACTTACCGCTGTCCCAGCTGATGACAAAGTCAGAGGTCGACAGACTACTCAAACATGTTAAAAATACTTCAGTTCTTACTACAAAAAATTACAAAGTGGAAAAAAGGCCAATTTTAGATTAATAGTATTTACAAAGTTTTCGTTAACATTTAGAAAACTACAGTCGTAGCTACATGAATTCATAATTTTAAGAGTTGTAAACCTTTTTTTTATTGACAGTACACATGGTTTGGCAATATACAGTATAATATAAAAAATTACAAAACTTCTTACCTCCATTTAGAGTCAGCGTAGCAAGCACAAATTCAGCATCAGTGATTCCTGCATCGTTGTGGGCAGAAGTTAGTAAGGTATACCACGTGCCTGGAGTTAATTCCGCGACTATTATGTCTTGCTGATTAGGCAGGATATTGTTAGACACCAGTGTCCACTCCATCTGGTCACGTAGTCTGTACTGTATGACAAAAAACTTGATGGGACAGCCGCCATTCCTCCAAGCGTTCAAGTGAAGAATAACGTAAGTTGAGTTGGCTGTTAGAAACGCAGCTTTGTTCGGGGCTATGGGTGCTGGTAGAATATCGAAAAGGAACAGTTCGATGTCAGTCAATTACTTTCAGTTATATTCAAGAAAACGCTAATTGCTGTCAAAATATAAGCTTAAACATGATCTATGGCAAATATTTCTGTAGTATGCTAAACCCAGAACTTCCGCTGGAACTATACTTTCAAAATGGAAATTTTATGTTTTACATATTATAACTAGAATTGTATTATATTTGTTTATGCTTAATATATTGTAATAGAGTAATTGTAATGAGTAATAAAGAAATGGCTTTATTACTAATTTTTAATGTTTACATGTCATACCTTCTGATATTTCAAATCAAGAACACTGATTACTTAAACGGAAAATAAGAAAAGTTGCACAACACATGCGAATAGAGTGATTCAGGCAAGTTAAAGCCTTTCCAATATTCCACTTGAGGAAAACAATCAAATGAATGCTGATACTTGTGTCATTGAAGTTCTGGTAGCTCAGGTGTTAGAACAACTTTCCGGTTTGAGTTATACGCCTTAATTTTCACTTCTAAAACAAATAATAATATGCAAAAATACATAGGAAAGTATACAGCACTCATAGGTTTTATCAGACACTAAACATTAACCTTCTGTATATCTCACCAAATAATAATAAATAGATTCTGTGTAAAGTTTAGCAGTCCTATATTGAACATTGACCTTTATCAATGAACTAATAACTGAAATTTCGAGCCTGTGTAGTGGAATATGTCAGGTGGTGTTTGGGCCATTTGTACAGTTAAATATGTTTAAGGAAACAACTATAAGATATAAGTATGAAACATAATTTAAAAAATCATAAATTTAATTTTTATTTGTTTATTCTTGGGAAAAACTGAATATATAATAACAAAAACACAAATAAGTGGTTTTGTATTCTAAAGAATTCCTCAAGGGGGAGTATCTGTAATTAAGTAAAGTAACGGAATTATGTAATATTATAGATTAGAAACACAAGGAAATGCATAGTACTCCTACCATGACCGTCAGTTTTAGCCGAAATTGTCTGACTTGGTTCACTTTTTCCGACAATGTTAAACGCCACGAGATATATTTGGTAGACGGCGCCACAGTCCAGGGACTGTATTGTGTGGATGGTTTCGTCCCCATTGACGTTAGTCGTCTGCCAGTTAACCGAGTTTTCTTTTTTGTAGAGCATCGTATAACCTAAAGCCATGAACATTTAAACATAATCAAAAATTGTTTAATTATTATCAACAGTATTCAGAAATATAACACGATATAGGCAGTTGAAAATGCTGAATGTTTATAGATGATTTAGGCAGGGTATTCATGAGGAATAAGGGGAAAGTTGACCTGAGGATGGAAGGCTTTCGAAACGTCGTCCTTTCTACATGGACTACTTTTGTTGATTTTCTCTCTATAACTGTCACTCATAACAAGACAGTTATAGCTCATTTTACCTTTGTTCATTATGTGGGTAACCACGGTAAGTTATTGTTGGCGTTTTTTTATTACCAGTGACGTACAAAGGGGGGTAGGGTGGCTTGGTGTAGGGCCTCCGTGGGTAGTGCGAGAAAGGAGGGCGCCGGTTAACAAAGGGAACTAATGGGTTGGGTTGGGGGTGGGTTTATAGTTGTACAGGGCACCATCAAATATCGAATGGAGCTCCTCTTCAGACTGAAACATCAACTAAATTCCTAGGTCTAACATACGATTCCAAATTAACATGGATTGAACACCTAAACAATATAAAATCCGAAGTTTAGCAGCCACGAACTAGACAAGGAATCTAACGGGTAAAAATAGCAGAGCAACAGGTGAAAATATTATAAAAAGCTATAAACACACACACGACCAGTGACAGAATATGCATCACTAGTATGGATAAACGTAGCACCAAAACAAATTAAAACAAAATTACAAACACTACAGAAAGCACTACTTACAACAGCATACAGAGAACCTAGATCAATTTCCTCAACATTTATGCACAAATATGCAAATATAGAAATACTAACCGATAGATTCCTACATAGTTCACTAAATTATTTCGCGAAAAATTGGCAAATAAATTATCTGCTTTGTGAATTCGAGCGTTTCTGCGTACATGATGAAAATAGTCCTAAGTTACTGTCCCCCATCAACATTTATATGAGAAATAGAAATAAATTAAAGCCACCTAATGCTAAACATGTATATCATCACTAATTTTAATTTACTGTGACACCATTATATATGTGAATGCTCTCGCTGAAATTTAGAATTATTAAAACATATGAAAAATACATCTCGAACTGTTCGTGTAGTGTGGACTTTATCACAAACGGATAAAGCAAGAATGTATTTAACACATTACTATTATTATAATTACATACACGGACATGACCCTGAAAGGGGTCAGGGTGAAAGCGTGGACTAGTTAAACTCTGACTCTCGTGTGGTAATTACATCAATATTAAACAGAAATCAATCATCAACTGCTGAAAGGTGGAATAGGTCAGAACGAACCTGGCCCTCCCAGATCTAAGAGATCTAAAACCCGATGCCTATCAGCAAACATCGGTGCGACACTAGCTGGGTTGGCTTAGCTCCTACCTTCCTGTTTTTATGGGTTGCTGTAATGGGTGTGCTATAAACTTCGTAAGCTATAACTGTGATTACCGCTTATTAATCGGGAACTTCAGATATATTGACCAGGAACTTCAAACATTACAAAACATTCAATTTCAGTGGATTCACATCGGACATTAGTACTTTTACGAAAACATTACCTAACGTCACCGGTAGGAAAAATCGGCGTGTGATCAATGAATTTCACAGAGCTAGCTCCCTATTAAGTAAATTGTACCTACGTCAACTCGAAATTAACTCACTCATCGTGAACCCTCGATAAGAAATCAAGAAAGTTCCACACCAGGAAAAAGACTATATTCCTTGTAAGTTTGTAATAACTATTTGTAATTACTGTTATTGTAAAATTGTATTATTGTTTGTGTATCAAAATATATTTGTATTAAAAAAAAAAGAAAACTGTGTGTATCAATCTTGTTGACAAATATAAATTGGATATATATCGGCATCTATTTAACTAATAGATCTAAATTACAATTTAACTCAGTTTTAGGCTATATGAAATTGTAATAGGTAACAATATTTATGAATACTTGTGTAAAAAAGAGAAATTAATGTTACTTACCGGATACTGGATTATGTGGATGTTTTGATCTATCCCATGTGACCGTTATTGACGTTGCTGTGGTAACGGATATCTTTAATACAGGAGTGCGCGGACGGTCTGAAACAGATCGTAATAATCTTTCATGTTGAAATTGTAATTTCCTGGTAACATCCTCGTCATCCTTAAGAATATATTTTAGTACATGTTTATTTGTTTATTTTGTTTTAGAGTAAAGCTGCGCTGGGCTGTATGCTGTTTCCACTGCGGGGAATCGAAACCCGGATCATATCGTTGTAAGTCCGTTAAATTACCGCTGCCCACTGGGGGAGAACTACATCAACAATGGACATACGTGGAAATGACCAAATTATCAATGTAGAATGAATTGTAATAAATACAACTTACCCCTCTAGAATAAACTGTAATACATACAACTTGACGATCTAGAATAAACTGTAATAAATCCAACTTACCGATCTAGAATAAACTGTACTAAATACAACTTACCGATCTAGAATAAACTGTAATACATGCAACTTCCCGATCTAGAATAAACTGTACTAAATACAAGTTACCGCTCTAGAATAAACTGTAATACATACAACTTTCCGATCTAGAATAAACTGTACTAAATACAAGTTACCGCTCTAGAATAAACTGTAATACATACAACTTCCCGATGTAGAGTAAGTTACATGTATTATAGTTTACTCTACATCAGTAAGTTGTATGTATTATAGTTTACCAATGTAGAGTAAACTATAATAAATACAACTTATCGATGCAGAATAAACTATAATACATGCAACTTACTGATGTAATGTAAACTATAATACATACAACTTCCCGATGTAGTGTAAACTATAATACATACAACTTAGCGATGTAGAGTAACATACAATTTACTGATATTTAAAATAACAGTAAACAAGAAATCATGCTCGAAAACTTTATTATAAAAAAATAAGATTTTCGGCATTTATTTAACATCCGATTTCTTGTTGATATTACTGCATACTATCTTTCGTTAAATTAATGTGGTGCTGTATATATATATAAAAAAGAAAACTTTGATAGCACAGAGAAAGAAATTTGGCAAAACTGAAACGTATTAATGTTACATAAAGTTTAGTTCATGACTAACTACATAAAAAACAAAAATATAATAAATTATTCATGCTGTGCCGTTATCTCGCTGTTCATTTAACTAAAAGAAGGAATAAGCATGTTTTCTACTTTACAAACATAAATATTGCATATGTTACCTCATGAAACGTCCTCGTATTATATAAATCATCGTTACAAAGATAAAATGTTGACATAACAATTGAAACTCTCTATAAATGCAAAATATAATTTGAGCAAGTTGATAGAAAGTATTAAAACATGAAAGTTGTTTTAAGTTCATTGCCAAAAAGTATTTATTTTTTGAAATACTTTAAGCAAGAATTGCTTCCTTTCCCATCACTAGGCTTTTTTTTATTTTTTTTCTAGAGAGTAGTATTATTTGGAAATCAAAGAATCTGACAAATTAACTAAAGTAGCAGTCTCACACTTATTATATAAAATTAAATATGTATCGTCAATACTGACAGCACCACCGCCGAATTCATTGCTACTCTTGTCTGACCGAATAGTGGGATTTGACCGTTACCTCTTTAGTGCACCTAGGCTCCTAAGATCTAGCACATTTTTTCAGCAACGGTTCGTTAATTATAAATCCTCGGATTCACAGTACGAGCATACACTCTGTCCAACATACTAATGTAACAACAAACATTACGTATCAACATCAGAATCACAAAATTTGAAATGTATTAGTTTCAGTGGTGGAATATTGAGCATAATACGAAGACTACACTCGTATGTATTCTGCAAAGCCGACTGTGGTCTAGTGGAAGGCATGAAGGGACTTTGAATCATAAGGTTCATGGTTTGTGTCCTGTTGCCGAAAAATGCGCAACACATTTTGGAGCAGGGAGTGCGCTATAGGAGTTACAGGCAAATTCCAAATATTTGGTGAGAAAGAGTAGCTCAAGACTTGGCGGTGGGTGAGGTTGACTAGCTGAATTCCCTCTGGTCTATCAGTTCAAAATTATGGAAGGCTATTCTTTACGCAAAAACTCTAAGAGTAAAAATTCTAAGTTTGTAAACGATACAACTTCAGACTTTCCCCGAATCTAAAATTACGCAAAAAACAATATGATATATTACCTTTTTGTTGCTTGACCTTAACAGTTTTTGTTGTACAGCATATATCAAACATGTTTTCTACTAAGTGACCACCGTAATCATAGTTTTTAGGATGGTATTTTTATTGAATATTATATCATACTAAGTTCATATAATTGTCTATAAGATTAATGATGCGACATGACATTCTTTAAGCTGTTGATGAACGGTTATTTGCTTTGGTTACACTTAAAAAGGAAACTTTTATTTTCCCGCTTTAAATTTACAATCCTATCTATCCATATATATATAAATAAATCAATATATCTAGTGCTATGCAATACATTAATTGTTCGTAGGCGATTAAAATCAGCACTATAAAATAATAATGAACTTGAAATAAACCAGAAACAGTATAGTACAGTTGAAACTCAAAATTATGCCCCATTATCATTTCTTGTTTCCGTCCTTAAGTCATAAAGGATTCGGATTGTTTCGGATATTCACGCAAACCAACAAAAGGGCTATCTGCGCTAGCCGTGTCTAATTTTAAATTAATAGACTACTGGCAAAACAGCTGGTCAACGACACCTACCACCAACTTTTGGGTTAATTACTCTAACAGAATATTTGACCGACATTCTTATAAAACCCACGGCCGCGATGTTTCCCCCGCGACAACGGGACACAAACCATGAAACCGCGGCTCCACAATCTTATATGCTAACTTCTGGGCAACACCCGGCCCACGCAATACGGAAGAAGAGAAGATCACGTTTCAGCCAACAGACCTTCACATCTGTCGTTTCTTTCAGCGACTTCAGCCATTTCTTTGTACCTTATATTTTGTTATTCTGGACACATTGGTGTTTATGTCTGTCTAGCTATCTACTCAAACATAGGTGCATCCAAATTTAACACAAATTAATAATTTATAATTGAATAATATGCTCGTAGAGGACAGAAGTAGCGTACATATAATAATATGCTCATAGAGGATAGAAGTAGCGTACATATAATAACATGCTCATAGAGGATAGAAGTAGCGTACATATAATAATATGCTCATAGAGGACAGAAGTAGCGTACATATAATAACATGCTCATAGAGGATAGAAGTAGCGTACATATAATAATATTTAGCAAATAAAACAAAATATACTCTTGAACAAAGCATAATTAAATAATTTGTTTGAACCACATCTGAACTACTTAATACAAAAACATATTAATTGTGGAATGAAATACATTTGTTATACATGCTTAGTAAAGTTATCTCATAATGTATTTTACAAACTTAGTGAATGGCTGTGAAGGTATACAGATTGCTACAAACTATATGTCTAATTGTAGCAATTTAGAAATTCACTGGCTGTTAATTATAGAAATAGCTGGTTGCTGTTTTTTTTCTTTCTTTGTCTTTAAGCACGAAGGAATAGTTGCCATGTAGCTTGTTTGAATTGTAATTGAATTAATGATGGGCACGCAAACTTCTGCTCTTACACGCAAGACTACTAATAGGAAAACTTCTTTCCAAACATTCTGAGCATTTTACAAGAGACATGTAATATTTAATAGCCACAGTTTATGACGTATAAGTGCCCATCATAGAAGTTCGATTTTCAGATTTTTCCATGACCTATACGTAACTTTATCATTATGTTTAAGGTTGTTCAAGATCAGAGTTGTATTTAAAAAAATATCAATAACATTTTGGCAATATTTCTCATAATGTTTCAACCATAATTTATTCTTGGATTCTAAGTAACTCATTGATAATGACCAAAGAATAAAACCAGCTTTTTTTCGGCATTGGATTAATTTGGTTGCAGAACCTACGGTCTTGTAATAAAGCAATAAGAAAAAGATATGTATAGCAAGATGTAAACAGATATTTTATGTGCCTCAGATTTATTTTGTATATTTTAGCATAAGCTGCTTGTAGAATTTCAAGACATACATTTAAGTTGCTGTTGGAATCTGCTAACATTATATAAAATATAACGAGTGTCATTTTAAACTATTTAGTAACTTTTAAATTATATAGAACATAAACTCCTATAACCAGTGCATATATATCATGTTAATTCTTTCACTATTATTCTAGTATAATTACAGACAGAAAAAATTCTAAAATTCACAGTCCAATAACATTTTAAGTGCCCCCCAGTAACACAGCGGCATGTTTCGGATTTACAACGCTAGAAACCGAGTTTCGATACCCGTGGTGGGCAAAGCACAGATATCCCATTGTGTAGCTTTGTACTTCAAACAAATAAATAAACAATAAACATTTTAAGAAGGAACAGACTGTGATGTGCAACTAAATTCTTATTCTTTTAGTTACATAAGTAAAGAAAGTTTAGTTAACCTAAGTTTTGAAATTTAGATATAAGCTTTAGATTAAATTACGTGAACTGTTTTGAATCTCAGCTGCTAGTATGACAGGCATTGTTAGTTAGATATAGAATTCTAAATTCATATCTTTGTGTTGTTACCAAGGGCTTTTTAATTTAGTTGTAAGCTCACCATACTTAGGGGTCTTCACATAAACTTCATCTGACGGTGGACCTGGGCCTTTACTATTGAAACCCTGGACAATGACGATGTATTCTGTGTCTCTCTCCAAACCTGATATTTCTTGTTCCACTTTATTTTCGTCGTCCAACATGACAGTTCGAAACGTGAACGATTGAGACGACGCACGAGGTTTGACCCCAACGTAGTACCCTTGTACAGTTACACCTGTTTCGAGTTCTTTCAAGGGCTAAGAAGAGAGATAAACAAATGATTTAAACAATAAAACGTATAAAATGAAAATATGAGTCGAGTTCTAGGCTTAGCGTCGTACTCAGTTGTCTGTAAAACATTCGCACTAAATTAATATATATATATATATTATATATCTTTTAGAGAATTAAATATAATAAATATGAATGATTATTAGATACACTAATACAACATAACTGTCTGCATTGAAAATCCACGCCATATTATTTTTCAAAATTTATTGGGAAAATAATAAAGCATCAACATGTTCTAATGACATTTAATTAAATAGGTCATTAATCTTTCATGGAGTACTCCTAATGAAGTAGACATTTTATAATATTATCTCTTGCTGTTATTACACAGTAGAAAAATATGTTTAACCCCAAATAACACTTTCTTGATAATTTATTAAATCATGGGTGTCATACTTGAGAACTTTATTTGCTTAATACTACCACAATTGCTTTTTTGTTTGTTGGTTTTGTTGGTTTGTTTGTAGTTAAGCACAAAGCTACACAAAGGGCTATCTGTTCTCTGCCTTCCACGGGTATCGAAATCCGGATTCCAGCGTTGTAAGTCCGCAGACATACCGCTGGGCCACTGGCTTTTTTGTTCTACATTTCGAATAAATCTTCAATGTGATTGTCACCTAACTGTTAATTCTAGCGCAAAGCTGCACATTGTATAATCTATGCTGGTCTACTGCAGGGATCTAACCTCAATATTTAGCTTTATTTACTCAGAAGCTTACCACTGAATCACCGAGGGGGTTTCTGCATAACATGTCGAGATTTGGAGTCCTCTAGTTTATAATTCTATATACAAACGAGTGATTTTATAACTTGATTGAATTCCAAAACATTACTCTGTTGTGATGTCAATGGTTGCAGGCGCTACTTTATTATACAAAAAATAAAATTAAAAAGTACGTCAGAGAGGAAAATTTTATATCATAAAATGTGTTCTCTTGGGTTCTACAATAAACACTTTCACTGCCTGTAAGACCAAATTGTAAGCCTTCAACTATAATCTATATATATATCTTTATAAAATGTCTACCACATGCTGAAGAAAGAACTACTTGTAACATCTAAAGGTTAGCTTTATATTTTCCTACATATTTTATCGTAAACATCTCTATTTAGCTATGAAAGTATTTATCTTCGTGTAATTATTTTGCAATTTTTATATCCACCAATAAACTATTAGCAAATATCCAGATTTTACAAAAAAACGTTTCATAATACAACAAAGAATCAGTTTCATAATGCAACGAAAAATCAGTTTCATAATACAACGAAGAATCAGTTTCATAATACAACGAAGAATCAGTTTCATAATACAACGAAGAATCAGTTTCATAATGCAACGAAAAATCAGTTTCATAATACAACGAAGAATCAGTTTCATAATACAACGAAGAATCAGTTTCATAATGCAACGAAGAATCAGTTTCATAATACAATGAAGAATCAGTTTTCCAATATCAAAATTGCTTTAATACTTATAACCGTGATAGAAAACTTTTCGAATAGACACTTGCCACAATAACTTTGACAAAACACTATTCCTGAATATATCATTTGTTGAACTTTCATAATATTGTCTAAACGTTGATTCTGTGTAAGCCATTTCTTTAATTATGATAACTCTAACTAAAGGCTGCTTCTATATAAGCCATTTGTTCAACCATAATTATTACGACCATAGACCATTTGTTTCACAATAATAGCCCTAACTATGGACTCTGACAAAAGAAAACTCCTGCATAAGTCACTTATATACCCGAAAAAAGGTAAAAAAATGCTTATATACAAATAAGATATGTAACTTCAAAATCCGGTCTAAAATCTGTTTATATGTAAGCCAGTTTTCTAGCCACAAGAAGTCTGATCAAAGCCTAATTTTCTATAAATCAGTTGTCTAATCTCGAAAAAGACCAAATATTAGTTCTACACAAATCATTTGTTTTGTTAGAGTAACTCCTGGCCAAAGACGGATCTTTTGTAAATCCAGTTTTAAAAAAAATTATAATTACTTTTACTGGTGAAACAATTTCCTGTAATCTGTTGGTGAGCAAATTTTCAATTAAGACTTATAGTTAATAATCTGACTATTTCTATTTAAAAATTTACGATCTTTATCCAAGTAATCGAAAGTACAGTTAATAAAGGAAAAAAAAAACCCAACAAGGAACCAATATTATAAGTGCATTTAACGCTAACAGTTACAGACAACTAGAAATAAACCTAAGTGACTTAATTTCATTTGTGAAACAGAAATATTCACGTTTTATTTCATTGAAGCATGCAAACTATAAGTCTGTGAATTCTTAAAGAGTTCAGTGATATATCTGCGGACTTACAACACTAGAAACCGGGTTTCGATACCCGTGGTGGGTAGAGCACAGATAGCCCATTGAGTAGCTTTGTGCTTAATTACAAAATATCTAAAGAGTTACGTAATTGACATAATGGACCCTCCTCTGGTGTTTGACTGTGATATGACCAAATTATGATTAGAGAAACAACACTTATTTAAATACATACTCGCTTTGAATTATTGGAAGAAAGAACTACTTGAAAAAATGCAATTCATACAGAAAATTCAAGTCATTTAGATAATTTTGTAGAGATCTAATCATTATTAGTAAAAATGATATTAATATAGCATGTTGAATTATAATAGTAGCATTTTTACCTCTACGTATTGACTTGTGTAATTAATATAAAGAGAATATTTCAATTATAAAAATAAAATTGAAGCTCATTTTAAAATTTCAAGTTGTACACATATGTAGAAACTTAGTAAACAATAAATCGTGTTTCATTTATTTCCATTATAACCGAACGATTTTCAATATTTAAAGACAATCGATTTGTTGTTCTTCTTTGTTACGATATAATTTATAGGTACAGAATATCAGTTGGGAGATTAATAAGAAATCTAACTAGGTACATCTGCTTGCGAGTATATTGATAATCTGTCAGCCTTCACAGTGCTCTATATTTAATGTTTATTGGTGAGTTGAAGCTAGGTAACGAAAACTTCTGTTGTCACAGATAATTTACTGTATACTTATCTTCGATAGAACCCAATAATTACACATGATAAAGAGTGAATTATTTCAATATGCCTATACCGATGAAAATACATACAAATAAATGACTATTTTCAGTTGAACCATTTCAAATATACGACACACGAAAACTGAACATATCGTTCATACTGAATTACAAAATGAACTAAGTACTCAAGCAGTTTGTATAAATTACAGAAACAAAACACATACACTGTTTTTACTGAGCTCTCCTGGTATCAAATCTACAGATGCTATTGAAAACATTATAGTCATTTATATGTAATAACTGTATCGTTCTAAAAGCATGAAAAAAGCAATTGGTACAATAAAATTGAGATGTATGAAGATAAAAGTAAAATTATTTAGTCTTTGACAAACTTCTATTGTATTTCGATAGTATCCAAAAATTATAAAATGTACTAGTTGTAATAACGTTTTTAAAATATTTCAAATATATAAAGGTTATAGTAGACAGCATGAGTTGTGATGGACTGTTAGTATATTTTAATGGTATTTAAAGGTATAATTAAAATATAATGCACTAAACAATAATGTGCAAATTTCATCTTAAGGATGTTAAATATAGATGAATTAGTTGCAGAAAACTTTCTGCTTATTTGGAATGTATGTTTTTGTAGTTTTGTTCTTTTTGAAATAACTCATTTCTATCATGCTATTGGTGGCTGAGCAGTAATCTTAAGAGCTTATAACGAGAAAATCGTGGTTTGATACCTACGGAGCCCAGATAGCCTATTGTGTAACTTTGCGCTTAAACACAGAAAAATAAATAATAAGCTTTCATCACTATAAGTACGTCATGTGTGTATCATCGACTCAACTTTTTTTTATGTATCCTTATGTTACCAATTTCACAGATTTTGTGTTATATATTTTTCTGGTCGTTGGTAACTCCAACTCCGAATGTGATACTCTTGGCGGATAATCGTCTTTCAATAGCGTTATTTAGTTTTAAATAGTGCTTAAGGACAAGCAAAGGACAGATGAAATCAATGGGACTCTTTACTTTCAAAACATAGACATTAAAATATATAATAATGTTCATTTTTCCTATTTATTTGGAAGATGTACCATACATGAATTTTGTTTTAATAGAATAAAAATGAGCATGTAGAATTACACTCAAAAAAGAACAGAAGAAACAAAATAAAGATAAAAACAAAACTTACCGACCACGATACAATAATGGCTCTTGATTTTACAGCAACAGCTCTGACATCAGAGGGCGAAGATTGAGGAGCTATAAATAGAATGAAATTAAATTATTTTATAGTCTAAGATATTTTTTTTTCTATTATTTGGTCAATATTCAAGAGTTACTTCCCGAAACTTATGCATTTTAGTTTAATAAACATACTTTGATAAGCTGCAATAATCCTAAAGAAATGTTTAACCAATTTTGACTACAAGTAACTAAGTTATGTACATAAATAAACATAGCGGATCTATAAATGTTATTTAATATATATATATATTTATCAGACGATTACTCAGTTCTACACAGCCCTGAGAAGACAATTATGTAAAAATACAACATTTATATTATAGATGTACGCGCCAACAAATACATGATCGCGCGAGCAAAAATGTAACAATACAATATAAAATTATATCGTTGATACAAAAGTATAAAGTGAAATATGTCTAATTGATAAAGCTAACAGCAACTTTGGATTTATATGCAAGAACTTTAATGCACATATTATAATAAATGAAATTAATACTATAAAAACGTTTACTAAATTTACATCTGAAAATATTATAATTATTAATAGTTTATTGAAAGCTATTAAAAATGGAATATACCTATTGATTACAAGTATTTATATTTACTTTTCTTACACGTAATTCCTAAATAACATAAGACTCCCGTTAAGTACAAGTTTATTACTAATTCATTAAATACTACTACCATACCTGTAGCTATCATATTAAATATTAGATGTTCTAATTTCTAAAATAAATTAAAATATTTTCACATTTCGTTACATTTATTTTGGATAATAATAAAAAAATTCACGAATATTGTAAGGTTTAGAATCTTTACATTTTTCGAATTCAGCCTTCTCTGTTTTGACATACAGTTTCACTACCATATATAAAAATTACATTTAAAAGATATAATAACAATAGTTTAATAGAATGATTTATAAATGAAAACATGGTTATTAATAAGTATGAATTTTCAAGTGTTCAATGCAAAAATCTCAATAATTTTTGTTTACATGAAAACTATATAATTTTAAATAATAAAATATTTAAGCAGCTAATCGTCATTTCTATGAGGGCCAACTTCTCATCACATACATCTAACTTGTATCTTTATTTTTATGAAAATGTATTTATGAACAAAGTAACAGTCCTCACAAATATGTATTTACTTTTTGTTATTGGTGGTTATGGTGCTCGATTCGCAATCAGTAGATCAGGGTTCGAATCCCCGTCACCGATCATGCTCACCCTTTCAGCCGTTGGGCATTATAACGTGACGATCAATCCCACTATTTGTTGGTAAAAGAGTGTCCCAAGAGTTGGCAGTGGGTGGTTTTGACTAGCTGCCTTCCTTCTAGTCTATCACTGCTAAATTAAGGACGGTTATAGCGCAGATATCCTTCGAGTAGCTTTGCGCGAAGTTCAAAACAAACCAAATCTTCAGTTATATTGATGATTTAATATAAATTAAAAATCTAGAATTTAACCTTTCTGAAAACTATCCTGAACATCAATTAGTACGCTTTTTAGATTTAAATATTAACTTTTTAGAAGATAAAGTGCAGTTTGACATATTTGATAAAAGAAGAGAATTTAAATTTCTTATCTTGGGACTGTCCTCCCCAAATAGTGTGGTGCCACATATGTCAATAAAATTTAACAATCTGTAATAAAATTAATTTCTTCGCGAATAATGTCGAGCTATTAGAAGATAAATATTTATTTAATGGCTATAGTAATTTTGAAATTAATAAAGTCTTTGAATTATTTTATTATAAGTTTTATAACTTATTAAGAAGTAAATATTGCAACTATTTCTAACTTGAAATATATATTCTTTACAGAATACTAGTATAAAAGATCTTAACATAAACACTTGCGATATATTTAATAAAGCTTTCAGCATATCTGGGCCCAAAAGGCTAACTTCAGAAAACTGGACATGATTAAGTGGAAATATTAGGTCCTTGCTAATGGAGGTAGTAGGGGTACCAGAACTATAGAAGTGGCTTTATAGTTTATAGTATCATATACTGTATATTATCGTAGCACTAAATTTACAACATCATGTATTATTTATTTATGAAAAGGGTAGAGTCGGGTGATATTTTTGACCGAAATCCAAGATAGTTGATGATACCAGATATTTATTTTTATGTCTTTGGAGTAACTATCATCCTCACTTCCGGCTACAGACGGTGAGTGGTAGTGGGATCTGGGACCTTTTGAGTTGTAGCATCAGATTGGACAGATCCCAACCCTTATTGAATCTGTATCTTGATTTTTTTAGTTCTGCATCTGTTGTTTTGATCATGTTTCTTTTGTATAAATCATGTAATTTTACATTGTTTTGCTACAGTTTTGTTAAGTAGATAGAGAATAAAGAAAAACGAACATGTATGTTTAGGTTGTGACCCAATTTTGTTAGTACATTAACGGGTGGGGGTTGAATGCTTATTTTGTAAGTGAAAGTGGTTGGAAGATAGCAAATTCTATTTTTTGTTGATTATCGTTGTGTTTATCGTTCATTTATTATTTCCGTCTATCGTTTAGTTCATCTATGAATTTTTAGTTGAATTATAATGCTAATTCACCTTTTACATAATCATTTGTAATTTGAGTAAATATATATATATATGTGTGTGTGTGTGTGTGTATGAAACTGACACCAGCTTCCCTATAGGGGTGACGTACAGATACTATTAATGTAGAAGATGATTATTGTTACGACAGCGGAAGTCACGCGACGCTGGGAGCATGCGCGCTGGAGTTTCTAGAAGGATCATGACTTATCGAGGAACCTCGCGAATGTGCGAGTGTTTATTCACACACTTTACTTACAGTGCCTACTGCTCGCTTGACTCAATTATCTCTATCTTCAATCTATCTGCATATCTATCTTTTCGCTGGCTTTATTTGCCGGGCTTATATGCTAAAAAAGAGGGCACCTGGCCACTGTGATTTATAGCGTGTGTTATAAAGGTTGTTAAGTTTAAAGTGACTGTGGAAATTTTGTGTATTACTAAAATGTGTACCAAGAAAGAATAAACAGTTTTAATTAAGAAAGGACTTGTATCGCCGAAGTTCCTCGGAAAGAAATTATACCTGAAATTAACAAACGAGCAGATACGTAACAGTATGTAAATTATGATCACATGAGGTTGCACTCTCGTGACCTACTTTGTGAATGAATACCCTACCAGCAGCGTCACTAAGAGAGTTTGTTTGTTTGTATTTAAGCACAAAGCTACACAATGGGCTATCTGTGCTCTACCCACCACGGGTATCGAAACCCCATTTCTGGCGTTGTAAGTCCGCAGACATACCGCTGTGCCACTGGGGGGCCACTAAGAGAGAGAGAGAGAGTCTCGAGATAGTTATTGAAGGGTATAGTTATTGCTGTTTGTCACTCGAAATTGTTATCGACACTGACATTGCAAGGTGTTGTTTGAATGTTGTATTTGCTGGTGTTTGTTTGTTTTTAATTAGTTTTTTTTCCTGGTTCCATTATGATTATTATAATTATCGATTTATTAATATTGGTGTGAAGTTCTGGCCAGGTATTTGTTTATTAACTGTGTTGAATTTATTTCTAAGTGTTGTTATTGTGAATAAATTGTGTTTTTTGTTTGTTTGTTATTGAACCCTGATTATAGCGGCATGTTTATTTTAGACCGTTACTGGTTAATCCTCCTCTTGTGTAAGCGAAGATTTTCTACCTGTCTATCTTTATTATAATAGCTTTACATAGTATAATGAAATGAAGTAGTCCAGAGTTTCGACGAAAATACTTTGCTTAACACAGTTCAAATAGTGTTTTCCCGTTAGTACAAGGAATTAGAAATATCATTTATTTTTTTATTCTAAAAAGAAGAGTAACAGAAATTCGCAGGCTATAAAAGAATTAGATGTAAAGATGTACTTACAAAATCAAAGAATTATCGCATATACTGAAGGAGCTGTCATATTCATCCATAGAATATGTGTCGAAGTGTATTTACTGATTCGGCTTAATAAGGCAAAGATGTTTAGTAATTCTGAAATATTTCCCCTAACGTATTTGATAGCTTCAAGTTCGTTTATCAGTGACTTTAGCTTGCTTGATTTGTTCACATAATTCCATCGTTCAAACTTGAAATATTTTTGTATAGTGGAACATCTGAATTAAATCATCAAAATAACCACAAGTGTACATACAAATACATTTGTTTATAGATACTTCTTTGAAAGACCGATAGTAGCAAAAAAAAAAGTGCATTAAGAATTGAGACGACATCTCGAATAGTAACAATGATGCTTTCGGAATCAGTAATACACGGTTATGCTTTGATGTTTAAATTATATGTTTAAGCCGCAAAGAAGAACTAAGCACGTACTCATACGAGACAAATCAATAAATCCTTGGCTTTAATGTAGCTCCATATGTAGAAAACACCAAATGTTTCTGAAAATGTTTCTACTAAGTACAAAAACAAAACAACAACTCTAAATTCGAGTGACTGAAAGATTTTACGACCTGATGGCAACCGTGGAAGAGCAAGGTCCCTAAATGGCCAAGGGAAACGAAAATCGATTCTAGAAACAATCTAAAAGCTCTCTTTAGAATCACCCAAGTTTTGTATGTTTGAAAATGTTCGATCGATGGTCTTAATCTATACTGTAGTTGGTATTGCATACAGATCTTCACTTTATTATTTTTCTACTTCCCGTCGGATGAGAAAAAATAATTCTCAGCTGTCTCCATCAAATTCTCAAAACAAATGAAGTGCATCTTAAAAAGGAAATGTCAAAAACGGAATTTTCCAGAATGTAGTCATCACAAGGCGTTTACTGTATACACTACACACGTAAGTATATATGTTTTATAGCAATGCCATCTTTATTTATAGCGTAAGAACCGTAAACGTTCTTTCAGGTTGCTTGAAAAATCACTTTTTAGAATTTTGGCATTAACTTGTGGTTTTCACAATTCATTTGAAGAACTGAAGTCTAATACAAAAACAAAGAAAAATATAGCAATAGTAAAAAATAAAATAAAGAATCGTATCATAAGTACATAAGTATTGTAAGAAGGGTATAGAAAATCTCAATATGTAAACTTTTTATCAACGAAAACTCAATAATAAGTGAGTACGTGTTCAACAATAAGTGATTTGCAATTTACTAGCTGAACATCGTCGAATAATGCAAAAAAGTAATTGCTTTTAAAATGCAACACTTCGCTATAAAGTGATCGAAATGAAATACTGCATTATCTTAACGTAACTTATATGTGTGTACCTTAGTTAAACACATAGATTTATTTAAAAAAAACATCACTTAAAGTATCAGCAACTCTTCTTATGAGTATCACCAAAGATGCTTGCAAATAGATTTCCCATGTAAAAAGTGACCCATCAGCAGGCATGCTGAAGCGACGCGTGACTTTTTTTTTACGTATAAGTTAGAAAACGTAAGTGGTGGGATTTCTTTAGCTACAATAAGATAATGCTAATTTCATAAAGTAAATAATTAAGCGCAATAAGCATCAAGTTGATTTGGTTAATGTACATTTTGTTTCTAAGGCCTTTTATCCTAAGTAGCTTAAACTTGACTGTTTTTGTTTTGAGTAAATTATCACTGTTGTACTATATATATTTTAATGGTTGTAAGTTAAATTGAAAGATAACAACACTTACGTTCCGCAGCGGTCTTTTGTTGAATTTCAGTGGAGAAATTACCAGCTCCGATGGAGTTTTTTGCTCTAATCCTAAATCTATAGTTCGTTTGGGGTTTTAAGTTTCCAATCCTTGTACTTGTTTCAGTCCCTTTTACTGTTCTTTGATTATTTTCATTCCAGTGGTCTGAAGGGACGCAAAAGAAATTTGATAACTAAACATCTAATACCATGCTTTAACTTACTTTAGAAATGAGAAACATTTTATTTTAAACATAAAATAGTAATGCGAAAATAATAATCAAAAATATCCACCATAATCATAGATCAACAAACCTTGTTTTTTATAGAACCTACCATGCTCTTCCCGCCATTGGACAACGTATTCTATAATTTCAGAGTTACCATCGTAAGGAGGCGGCCAAGATAAATCTGCAACACGACTTGTAATTTCTTGAACTCTGATCCTGTGTGGCATATCGGGGATCTCTGATGGTGAAATTACGTATTAAAGAGTAAGAGAAACGTTGATTCTGTATTTTATTACGATATAACCATTTAAAAATAACACTTGCTTGAACTTTTAAAAATTCATTCCAATTTTGTTATGATATTAACCAATGACACAACAGTTATTAATACCAAAACATTTTCTTTGATGATTTTCTTTAATTCCTAGCAAAACATAAAAAAAGAATTTTACCTTCAAAATAACTTCACATCAATTATTTATTTTTCGGCAACTTCGAGCTGTCACTATATATATAAAAAAATGACAACTGTTTATAACTTAAGTTTCCAATATGCACAGATATAAATATCTCGTAGAGATATTGACTGTTTTACCATTATACCTTGGACAGTGATTTCAATATCCACGTTATCTTCTCCGTAATCATTGCGAGCCACACACGTATAGGTAGCACTATCATCTCTCGTAACAGAAGGAATTATTATTTCTGCCATTCTTCCTTCCTGCGTAAAATCTTCTCTGTATTTATAGCTGACACAATAAAAAAATGAAATAGTAAAATCAGTAAAGTATATTTTTTGTATTAGTTCTTTCACACAATTACAATAACCTCGTAGAAAAGAAGATATCAATGGAACATACTTTAAATAAAAGTACATAAAGTCAGCAAAGAGCTGAAAAGAGTTCTCTATTTTGGGAGGAGATATAAAACGTTTTTCTTCTCGTAATGACTGTCTATTAATTAATAAAGAGATATAACAGACTAAGATATTCCAGTTTACTCTCAGATGCGATGTACTTGAATCGTCAGGACTAACGTAACTCTGGAAAATTCTGGATGTCACGAAGTGATGTAAGTAGTCTGGTGGCCTAAAAAAACTACTTCCTCATGAAATAATAACTGTTACAAATTCAATTAAAGAACATTTGGTTTTCTTTAAAAAAAAATACAAACAATTACTATTCTAAATGTTTTAGTGACGTCATATTCAAAAGATGTGTATTTCAAAATACCGTTAAACAATTGCATGCTTATCACCTTTTCGACGGCCTAGAATGAGAAAAAGAAAACCGAACAGCGTATTTTTATTTTGTCTTTCTTAACGTTTGCTGACAGTATATGAACAAATATTTCATCATTGTGAAATCAATATTATAGAAAATCGTTAATACACGAAATTTTATTGCGTTTTTGCAGAAAAATATCATAATTGAAATATAGATTAAACTGATAACTATTATTTGTAAGTATTTTTGTGTTACAAAATATTTCTACAAATTTTTAACACTGAAACTGTTAATGAGACAAACTGACCAGTGATTATCTATGCTTTCATGTTACTATCTTGGTTTTAGTCTTTATAAAACCATGTTTGATGATCACAATCGGTGTAGCACAATAGCATTAGTTACGGTTTGTTGTGGAAATGTTTGTAGTTTAAACAATTATGAACAATTAGCATTTACTGAGTGATTCACTCAATCGTGAACTATAACTGGTCTTATATAAACTGCTGCTTGAATGGGCAGGCGCAATGTTTAATAAAGTGTTCTTCATTTGAGGCATTATGGGAAATGTCGTGAGATACTCCTTTTTAATTCATGCCTCCTTTTGGGGTCGGTAATTGTTACATTAGTAAACTTCAGACACTGGAAAACAGGGAGCGTTGAAATATCTCTTAATTGTTCAACCACGTTCCCAAGGGTTACACCTGGACCTTTAATGGTAACTGTGATCAATTATGACATTCTGAGCTTTTAGTATTTCACCTAATTCCATTTCATTAGGCTATAGAAAATTAAGATATGAATAAAAACAATAACATTAAAAAAGTGCAAAAACCAATAATATGGGAAAAACAAAAAGCCAGTTAAAGAGCTACTAAATGTGATAAAATCCTGTTAGTTTGTAGATCATTTCTCTCATTTCTGTTAAATTTGTCTATTACAGATTGTAAATCAGAAACAAGAGAAAAATAACGTTTCAAAGCTGTTTTTCTGTCTCCAAAAAAATCACTGGTTAGGAAGCTTTTCGTTTGATATCAAATTATTTAGCAGGTCAAGACTACGAGAGTCAGAATATTAGTTAAAACTGATTATGTGTAGATTACAAGAATTAAAAGCTACAGTTTGAAGGACGAAAGCATACAAAATCTTAGACACAAGTGAGCCCGAGACAAAATCTACATCGAAAATGGTCTTTATTACATATACAGTAGCAGAGTACGTTATGTTAAAACTATGTTCAAACCTTAACACGTCGTTATATTCCATGTTGCCACATCTATCTGAAGGCAATAGTCCTGCAGCACAATTTTCATTGCAAAACGCTCCGTCGTAAGTTTGTCGTGTCAAATTCATACCACTGTTCCTTGTAGGCGTTCTATAACCAAGATAGTGTATGAGGAAAACGAGTTTCCAGCACCCATTTCAAAGTTCGATCGCACAAAAATCCATAAGTGCTGCATCTGTCGACTTGACCAATATATCTCCATACGTTATAGCATGAATACCCATTTCTTTCTCCAGCTGCTTGTGGCATTCAACAGATGAATGGATATGGCGCAGAAGAAACTTGTGTAGCTTTTCCAGAGGGAGACACTTTTTGATTATGTTGCATACTATTATTTGGGTAACCTGAACAGCTTTTGCTATTGACTTTTGTGTTCTAGGATTCTCTACTGATACAAAACCTCGCTCTTTATTTACAACAATGTATTGTTTCAGGTGTTTTTCTGGGTGATCTTGCTTTCCCACAGATAAATATTCATTTATTTTACATTACTACTAAGCACAAGAGGCATTCAAGATTTGGAAATTAAATTTCTGTTTTGAACACATCTTTATAACCTGAGTATATGAATATTTTGCTTCGGGAAAGTGGTGTTACTTAGCTTTCCCAAAAGGTGTCAGTTTTCGGTGAAATTGCACAACCTACGTCATACCAAACAATATTAAAATGTAGTTCTCAGAATTGTTTTAACATAATGTACTCAACTCTCTGTATAAGTCCTATTGGTTTACAATGGTTCGATAGCTTTCGGCGTTAAAACCGTAACCTAAAACTTTTTGGGCTGAAAATGTAAACAACATTTCACAGAACCTTTTGTTTCTCATCGCCCAGTTCAGTTTAAGAATTCTAATACTGAACGAAAAGCCTACCATGCAATAACATGTAGGAGAAAAAAATAGATGTGAAATGATATTTTTACATACCTCTAGCTTGAAATCCATACTGGACAAATTAAAGAGAGTATGAAAAATAAATGCATCACAAGCTTTCGCATTCAAACTGAATTTTTAGGATTCTTATATTGAATATATAATAAAACTTAAAACAACCTTTTGAGTTTCCTTATTGTTCATCCTAAGTAACGAGTTTTTATTGAGAGAAACGCCTAGTCAGCATTGGCATGACAAGTGGGAGGCAAAGACTAGATTTAAAATACAATTACTATATACATCTAATATGAAATCCAAATTAACAGTAATGCGAAAAACTGTAAGATAATGGTATTTTTGTTACAAATATTAGACCTATAAATGTATATTGCATGTATCGCTTTCCAATGATGTTTGGCGTACAAAACGTAACTTTTAAAATATTTTAATTCTCTATATAAACATCGCTTCAGATTTATTTTTCTCTCATTGTCCAGTCTAGTTAACGAATTCTGATATTGACAAGGAAATACTTACTGGACAGCACCTTATGGAAGACAAAAGGTAGGTCTGAAAAGTAATTTTTAAACAGCTGTCATTCAAAATCCATAATGAATGAATTAAGAGGAATTTGAAAAACAAATGAATTGCAGTTTAAAGCTATTCATCTACTAAGGATATCAGACCGGCTGGATTTAACTGCTTAGCTAGCTTTCACTTAAAATGTTTGTACAGCATATTATTTAACAAATACTCCAGAAATATGTTTGATCAATGATGTAGAAAATCCTTTGAATTTACCTGGGCACCATTGCATTCAGCAGTTTGGTCTGGTCTCTTTGCATGTATGTCTGCAGAATTTATTGAAGTCTGTGACTAAAGAGGTCTATAATATTGTGGCATAGCATTGTATGTATTAGCATCAAATCAATATCATTTTATAAATAACTAGCCAGTTTACATTGTATAAGCACAGAGAGTTTTGAATATTCTAAATTAAATGATGTAACTGATTACGCACTACCGCATGATTCCGTCGATTGTTTGTTCGTCCTCATCACCCCTACTGCAACAAACTAGTTTTTTTGCGCTTATGTTCCTTTGTAGCTCAATAATTTATTATACTTAGCTCAGACATTGGCCAGGCAGCTGCGCCACTGCTTTTTATCGAGCCCATCAGACGAGATTTCATGTAGAAAGGCATAACTTACTTGTGCAGAGATACGTGGGAGGCAAAACAACAAATGTGAAATAATTTATTTCCACATCATTGATTGAAATCTATATTGTATAGATTAAGTGGAACATGAAATATATGTACATATGCATGCAATTCAACGTGACTTTTGTAAGAAGTGTTAGGCCTATTGATTTATAGTGACTTGCCATCTTTCGGCATTCAAATCGCTAACGTATAATTTTGTGCTGTGTATACAAATAGCAATTAAGATATATATTTTTGTCTCTTATCGTCCAGTCCAGCTTATAAACTCTGTTCTGGACGAAAGATCTCCGGAAGTGACTTCTGAGAGACAAAATAACGGTATAAAGTGTTTTTTTAACAGGCGTCTGACATCTGTAATCAACAAATTAAATGTGAAAGAATAGAAACAACTTGTGTATCGTGACTTTCTCTCAAATACTAGGAAAAAAGTCATTTAAGTAATATGGTATGTGCTTCAAATTTCTTGTTAGGTCATGTCGACTCATCCAGCTTGTTATTTGTTAACGTAAAGAACACACTGCATTACTAGCGTGAAACTTTAAGTAGAACGAGATAGATCAGTTTTTTAGAGGTGGCTTATATGTTAGAAACTTCTTACCTCCGTCGATTTGATGGATCAAACTCTTTTCCATTCACACGCCACTGTATAAATATAGGAGTTTCTCCAATAGTATTACATCGTATCACAGCTCTATCTCCTTTTCTCAGAGTCTGGGATGAGAATTTGGACACAAATTGTGGAGGACCTGTTTCAGATACAGCTTATTTAGGACTTCAGGAAAGCTTTGAAATAACAAGTACAGTGCAGTGTTACCATGTCTGTAAATAATCTCACCACGTGTCCACTGTTTTGGGGCGCATTACACTAGGAAATAGTAATTATTTTATATTGATACCCATTTACAGAAGTAATATAAGTACAGCGAATGAGTATATTTTGAGAGGCAGCCACTTTTAGCTTTTACTTTATTATTTTTTATTATCGTGTGTCTTTTTTTCATTTATATTTAAGAATTCGAAGAAATTTATCAGTTATTTACTCTTTTCTAAACTTTTCTATTGAAAATATGTGAAAACAACCGAAACTTTATTGAAAATACAGTTCATGACCAGATTCACATATACTATATATAGTCTAGGCGTGAATATCCAAATCCTATCACCTGGGGACTTTTTTTTTAGTAAAAGTTGGGAGTGATAATTTTTACTCAGTTCATACATGCAGAATCTGAAAATGCTTGTTCTTAAGATGAATTTTGAGATTTAAAATATTCAATTGGTATTTCTAAATAAAAACTAAATTCTTTCATTTTTGGCTTAAATGTAATTTGAAGAAACATAAGAAACAAACAATTATATACGAACTTGTATGTTTTTAGTTGAATTGATAAAAAATTAAAAAACATTCTGGTCTATAATTACTTTAATTATAAGTATGTAACGATTAATGCATTGTCTTGTCAGAGTTTAGTGGAATAACAGTGCATTTATGACAAAATATTACCTGTATTACATTTTATATATATCAATAAGGCACATCATTTTAAGGGAGACTTTTCCACAAATTCGCACAAAAATTCCACTCTCAACGCTATTTAGAAACATAAACATTTACATTTTTCATAACACAATAGTATTAAACTTTTTGTATTTTAAACACTTACATTCTTTATTTGTTTCCTTAACGTTTTTTGAGAAGAATGTTTAATAGTATTTCAACAACGCTATGTCTAGCGTATCTATCTCTGACCATGCGTTTTACTCAATACCAGAGCTTATCAGGCCACCTGGGACACAAAAAACATAGCAATAGCCAGCAAACCTCCCAGTGGCACAGCGGTATGTCTGTGGACTTACAACGCTAGAAATCGAATTTCGATACCTGTGATGGGCAGAGCACAGATAGCCCATTGTATAGCTTTGCGCTTAACAACAAACAAGCAAATCGTCAGAAAAAGACGTTAACATCATTACAATAAGCATATATCATCAAACTTTTCCTTCACATGTATTTACTTGTTAACACGTTCATCTCCTACTGCTTGATCCTGGCATTAACAAGCTCAATGTAACAGAGACTGGACTTCTGGCACTTTCACATCAGGGTTCTGCACCCTGTTTTATACTTATAAGTTATATTCTCCATGAGGCTTTGTGGAGAGAGTTCAGATAACATTCGAACTGGTACTAGATTGTCATACCTTTGACGCCATTCCAGCAGCGGCTGGTTTACATTTTTCTATATCATAGTCTCAAAGTGGGTTCCTCGTCATCGAATATCACGTGTTTGTTTTTGTGAGGAACGTACAATAAGCTTTATCCATAGGCACTACTTTCTCTGGCACGTTGTATATGTGACTTCTCTGCTACTTTCATTTTCTCAGAAAGTGAGTTCATGTTCGCTAACATTTGAAAGTCATGATGTTGCAAGAGTACTTTCCATGTTGACTTCTTGGTGTGGCCACTTTTAAGATGTAGAGTCATATCCTCACAAGGCGTTAAGTTATGGAAGTGATTTTATCCCAGTGTAGCTTTTTTGTAGACTTCCGTCATAAAAATGTACTTTCGTTTCCTTAAGGTACCAGCCGTTATCCATAACTCATTACAATGCAGCCTTTCAAAGTATAAGAAAAACGTAAGTGTCCATCGCCTAAACAACTACAGTTTCAGCATTGTAGCAGATGGAATGCATGCAGTTGGATCGCATTATCATCTTCTGTTTACAATGCTATCAGGTATTATAAGTGCAAATAATACAATATAATAAATGAAAGAAAAAAAAAACCTGAACGTCGTATAGTAATGTAATGACAATTGTTAAGAAACAAACTTCAAGAGAAATCATTAACTATTCAAATACACTAGTTGTGTGTTTGTTGATAAAATCCACAAAAAAATGCAGTGTGCTTCTTTCTGTAGCGTTTTAAACTCAGCTGACACACTGTTGCAAGTTACCTGCACCCAGTCCATCATGAACTGTGATTACAATTAATACTAATCCAGTATTAAATATATTCTAGCACATTATATTTAGATATTGTAAAGTGATAAATAAATAAGTAATTATCATTCAGTTTTGTCATTGTAAGTAGGTAAATACCATGTAATTATAGATTTCATGGGTAAATACACTTACAGTCACATTTAGACAATTCCACAACTAAAATGAAGCATATATTTAGCATGTTGTTAATAATTCTTCATTACGTCTTACGTGATGTCCCAGTTACCAGAAAAAAAAATCATGTACTGAAACGTCCACTTTTGGTGGTAATTTTAAATTGCCGATTTAAAACTCAGTCTCACAATACATATCCATAACAGGCACTTTTGGGTTTAACAGGTTCGAATTATTAAAGAAATGAATGTTCCTAAATTTTATTTAAATTGCTCCTTGGCTATTTTGCAGGCTTGTTTTTTTATGTTTTTAGTCAAATCTAAATCATAATCAACAGTTCATATAATCATTAACATACCAATTATAGTCCTTCATTTACTGCTGTTCACTAATTTAATTTCATAGAAACATGATTTCCAACAGCCAATCAATGTTATTTTGCACGAAGTACTCTTATCTATTTATACTCACGTGCATTTATTTCTTTTGGATAATTTTTGAGCACTAAATTGTATTCATAAAAATTGAGTCTAATCCAGTTTTAGGTCAAATTGAATGATGATCTTCAACTTTCAAAAATTAACTTGTGTATTTGCCAATTAGATGATAGTTAAATGAAATCTATATAAAGCTCTACACAACGTCGTTATAGTTCATTTCGCCCCTTACGGCATCCTTCTTCTGACTAACATGCATTTTTTCAATTGCTTTGCAGCGTATTTGTTAATGTAAAAGGCTCCGTCGTAAGTCTGTTATGCTCAAACTACATCCCTTCTCCTTGACTGCTTTCCATAATCCACCCAGTGTATGAGAACGATGGTTTCACATCAATATAAATGCGCTGCTTCCTGAGACTTAATCATGTACCACTTTTAGAAAATATTTTCACCCATTCACGGATAGAAAATGGAATGCTACAGCTAACAAGGTACACATATGCTTCGTCGTGTGGAATAGCATGAATACCGGTTTCATTCTCCAACTGCTTGAGTTATGCAATGGATCAATAGGAGATATGACTGGAGGTCTTATCTTGGTAGACTGTTGTCCTCGTTTTCGTACAAAACTGGTATTTTGTATTATACAAAGGATCCAGAATGTTGGTTTGATTCTAAACAGAGTTCACCTTGACCTTTGTATCGCTCTCTTGATTGATAACTTGAACCCTCTGCATTATCCAGCGATAATCATGAATTCATTCTAAAATGTTTTGTGACATGTCATATACAACTTTTAGAACTTTTTTCATCTATTGACTGGTAGAATTGTTTTTTTTCTTGTTTGTTTTTTAATTATGCACAAAGCTACACAAGGGCTATCTGTGCTCTGCCCACCACGGGTATCGAAACCCGGTTTCTAGCGTTGTAAGTCCGCAGACATACCGCTGTGCCACTGGGGGGCGACTGGTAGAAAAAGGAACGAAAGTAGTTATAGTTATGGTACACACACGCTTCATCGAGTATCATCATGTACAACCGTTTATCCCCATTCACCATTCACATAGTTTTCTACAGTTCGTCTTCCTTTCATGGATATGTCATAAAAGCAGCTTGTGTTCACCTGAGTTGTGTCACTTTTCCACACAAATACCCAGTTTGATTATGTTGTGTAATGTCGTCCTCAAAGGTGGCTTCTGACCTTGTGTTTGTGGATTCCTGGTACAACACGGTGCACTTTGCTTACTAGACCCCCCCCCCAGTAGCACAGAGGTATGTCTGCGGACTTACAACACTAGAATCCGGGTTTCGATACCTGTGGTGGGCAGAGCACATATAGCCCATTATGTAGCTTTGTGCTTAATTTACAAACAAACAAACAATATGCTTACCACGATTAGGGTAGGACTTATTGCAAGTCTCCTTATGAATGATTTATCCATATTCCTTTGTTCCAATGCCCTTAATTATAAGGGGTATCCCCTTCTTGGAAAGCTTGAATCTCCAATCACACATTTTTATAGTGTGAGTATAGGAACATTTTGCCTCAGAAAGGGCTGTTACAATCTCTCCCAAAAGCGATCAATTTTCAGTGGCATCACATTACTTTCGTCACGCTAAAAAATGTCAAAATGTAATTCTGATACATGATATACCACCGAGACTTTATCTTGGCTGTGGTTCTCACGTGACTTGTTTATTTTCACATTCAAATTTATTTTAATATAATATATTCAACCTTCTGGAGTTTGTTATTTTCATTATAATTCAATTTAAGTTATATGTATACATGTCGTTTATGTAACATCAACTTTTCATTCAGTACGATTTCCTGAACATGATATTAACACAATAATTAGTGTTTCACAATTTCAAAATATTTTACAAATAGCTTCGAGCTTGAAGAAAGCAATATATTTTAATATCCTTTCTCTCTAATGAAAAACAAATGATACTTGTTTTCTAATTATTATATAACTGAGAGTGATGTGAAAAATATAAAAACTTAGAAAATTTACTTAGTAGCCGATAATTGAATGCCTTTTAATACTATGAGTCAACTTCAGTTAAAAGTTTCACATTTAAGATAATAGGTGAAGCATATTCATATTTAATGTATATATATATATGCTATATTTAACGAACACAAAAGTTCAATAATGCATTGCTTGTAAATAAAATGCACGTAAATGAAAGAATTTATTAAACAAAAACACAGGGACAGGTAAAATAATACCATATATAGCGATTAGCACGAGAATCGTTGTGAAACGAATATTTCTATAATTTGTAAAGAATCAAATACGTTTTGAAACGTTGACGATTTAGATTTAAAATATTGAAATTCATAAAAATTATGCTAGCCAGCAACATATTTTAATTTGAGTATATATGAGCTAATATCTTCTATATATTTTCCAATGTTTAACTGGTGGTTACATTGATATTATAATAATATTTGCTATGCATGATTGTGAAAGCATGTACCTATCATTGTCACTGACGTTATCGATACAGAATTTTATAGGTAGAACATGAAAAGTATTATCATTTTAAAGTTTTATCATCACGACTACAGTAAAACATACTTTAATTTCATTTTCCAACGCATTAAAATAATGCCACTAAATTATCTGATGCTTATTTCCAACTGTCTCCTAAGATTGTCATCATTTATTTGTCTCCCACGTTGAAATAACTTATTCCACGAGGCTTGTTTCTATGGAGATATGTGACGAGAACATCTTCTATCATCTCTACAGTTCATACCACGAATGCTTACAATATATACATACGTTAGGCTTAACAGCTGAAAATGAAAAATTACACCTTCTAAAATTATATTTAAATTCAGTTTTCGCTTATAAAATATCCTTAATTACAAAAATTGATGATTTATTAACTTTTGTTTTTTATTTTTTGCAAATATTACACTAAACATAAACTTAAGTTTATTTGTTTGTAGTTAAGCGCAAAGCTACACATTTGGCTATCTGTGCTCTGCCCACCACAGGTATCGAAACCCAGTTTCTAGCGTAGTAAGTCTGCATACATGCCACTGTGCCACTGGGGGGGGGGGAATAGTTATAAGCATACAATTCTCATTAACAACTACAAGCATAGATTGGTCTAAGACCAGAAAATAGGTAAAGGCTGATGAAATTGAACTGGACACAATCTTTAAATAGTTAGTGTGTAAAGTATTCAGACAGAATATATGTATATTTACATACATACACACAGACAATGATATATTGTAATTTTAATTTTGTAACTAGAACTTCATATTTTTCGCTAATAATAATGTTGTCGCCTATTGAAAATTAGCATCTTTCCGATATTCTTCTGTTTTCCGCTGCTAGAGGGCAGTCGATCAACCCACGATTGTCTGTTATTACTGTAACAGCTGTAAGCACACAGCCGTACCTCATAGCTAACTGATGTTCTCACTAAGGTGTACTGTCTTTAACTTAAAGAACTGTTGAAATATGATTTAACTATTTTTAATTTCTGATAATATGGTATGCATATTTTACAAGAGTTGCAACTTGACAAAGCTCGTTTCCCATGACAACGTCATTTGGTAAGGAAAATGCTAGTAGCTAATTGTAACCCTTACGTTCAGCGTGAAGAATATTAGGAACGCTTGTAGAATATACTTTATAACAGTCAGAGACTCAACTACTCGCTCTCTACGAGTTTGTCCTTTGGGGTGATGGTAAGGCTTTAGGATTGGATGGCGTGAATTTTGCTCAAAAAAGCTGCAATTTTCTCTGCGTTAACAACTCCCACAGATATCTTATAGTTCTGTATATGAATACGTTGTAGGTTATTGATCACTGCTGTGGGAGTTTTAGAAGTACATGTAAGTTTATACAAATTGGTGGTAAATTGATATATATTTCTTTTTACATCAGATTGTTATGAAAACAAAACTAATTGGTGTGTTTGAATTTTCTAAATATGGTAGAAACTAAGGTCAAGATGATACATAATTGATTATTCAATGCATAAAAACAGAAATGGGTCAGTAGAATAATCACCTAAAACATGAAGATAAAACATTCTTGCTAGATCAAGAAAATCCGTTCGCTGAGTTGACCGTTGAATTGAAGGTGGATCACAACTATGATATCTGGAACGTTGAACATTTTCCTGAAACTGAAACTATTTTGCCTGAATTGATAAAAAGGTAGGTTCATTTTAGAATGTAAGCTCGGTAGTTTAAACAAATTTACAATAAAATGAGTAGACAATATTGAGAGTTGATACTTAATAATATTATGATTTTGGTATAATTTGTATGATTTAATTGACGCAAATACGTGCAAGAAAAATACGCCATGTTTATTTCACGGCGAAAGATTACCAAGAAAATGGGGTATATAATATTTTTGCACAGATTTGCTTTGAATAAGGAAGCAGACTCACAAAATCATATTTTAGAATTTGAATAAAAATGCAGTTTCTGTATCCGTTCATCATGATCATATTATTCTACTTTGCATAAAGGAAAATATGGACCTAGCTTACATCTTGAGATATCTTGAAAAACCAATGACAAATCGAGTGAGCATCATTATTAAACATAAGAAATCGTGATAAATTTCTTCGTAGAATTAAACTTGTGTAGGATAATGTTTTCATTGCAGGTAAATATGCAAGATTGTTCTTTGACACTTCACATGAAAGTGTATTATCGTGGAGGAAGATTATTTTGATTTATTTCTATTGGTAAAATTCTAAATGACGGTATAGGAAGCTAGAATATAGGGTAATTACTGTTACCGACGAAGAAAAGATGAATCATGGGTATTTTTACTTATTCTAACTTAGGATATTTTCGTAAATATTTCTTGCTTGTATTTACTTCTGTTCGTATCGTTCATATGGTTCTTTCTATTCATTTTACTGTGTTACATACATGCTTGTGTAGGCATACGATACAAAGATGAACGTATACGGGACTAGTTATGACATGTCCCCCGAGTTCATCAGAGCTTGCCATCTATCATATCACTTATTTTCCCTTTTGCTAAAATAAACTTAGGAGTAGTTTTTATATATGTATATGTTCTTCGTGAAACATGCTTTATGCAAAAACTTCAGGTAGTTTAAATTATTCATCATTCGTATCATAAACATTTGTTTGAGTGGAACTCAATCGTCTTTATTGATGAACGACGCATAACTATAACTCTTCTATGAAATCATTCAACACATCGGTACTGAAACACCTTGTCAAGTAGTCTAGAAACATGATATATAAAAACTTAAGACATATCGTAGTTTGGACTTTTAGAATGACAATTGAACAACGCTTGACTGGTCTACAGGTGACTAAATATCTGACTGAAGAGACTAAAATGTCTTGAGCGTAAGAAAAACATCTTCAGTAGTGGTGATAAATCAGGAAGACGAGGTCGAAACCATACTTTTCTAACTGGTTCAAATATCAGTTTGAGAATAAAGAGCTAACATTATTAAATGGTATTGATGCGTTCCCCGGTGAAAAAGGGGTAAGTTTATAGACTTACAACGCAAAAATCCGGAGTTCGATTCCCCGCGGTGGACATAGCTCAAAGTGGCTTTTCTAAAAACAATGGTGTTAATGCTCAACATATAGGCCTATCCACTTGTATTCACATTTTATACTCGTTATCTTTCCTAACTGAATTCTTTCTATCTGTGCTATTTCTTACTCTTTCGCCCTTCAAAGCTTTCCAGAAAAGAATCTTCCATTTTTTTCTACGATATCAATTAGTAGATGCTACATACCTTTTATTATTCTTTGTCATTTTTTTATTTTCTCTTCTCATTAAAACTAATAAGATATAGGTTACGCCTTATCTACTCAGCAAAGAATTTCTTTCCAGAAAAAAAATAAAATCTCACAGAAAAAAAACAACACTTGAATATTTAGTCCATCACACCAACTGCAGTTAATTCAGGTAATAACCGATTTAATTTCTATTTATACCCACTTGCGTGTGTCCCAACAGACAACTTTTAAATGTGTGTGTTTCATATACACTCTGCTAAACAATGATGATACCATTTCGTTTCATTACAAAAAACATTTGCATACACGTCTCTTTATTTATTCACTAGCTTTGATGCTACACAGATTCCAGCCATGCGAGTTTTATCCACACATGACCCAATGAATCTGTTGATGCTACTTGGAAAAAGAAACTCTTAAAAGGTTAAAAGAATTTCACCTGGTTACCATGGCAACGAAGATATTTTCAAAAGAGTTTGTGCATTTTCCTTCATACAAGGGTGACTGGTGGCTTTCAAGGCCGTAGAAAATTCCCAGTGTTCAAATTATAATTTTCGGTTTGTTTATTTCAACAAAAATACTATCTAAAGTTTTCTTTTGATCCGAAAAATGTATGATGAAAATACTTTGTCTGAGAAATGAATGATAGATTATACCCGTGGTGGGTAGAGCACAGATAGCCCTTGTGTAACTTTGTGCATAATTAAAAACAAACAAAAACAAACAGAAAATAAAATTTTAAAAATGAAACGAAAATAATGAGAAAATTACCATAATAATCAGAAATATCACTTGAAAGAGTCTGTAGTGGAGTAAAAACGTGGCCAGGCATGGCTGGGTGGTTAGGGAGTTCGACTCGCAATCTGCGGGTCGCGGGTTCGAAACCCCGTCCACAAAACATGCTCGCCCTTTCAGCTGTGAGGGCGCTATAATGCGACGGTCAATCCCACTATTCGTTGATAAAAGAGTAGCCCAAG